CCGGCCGTCTCGACGTCGGCGTGGTAGTGCCATCCAAGCTCCTGCCACGCCAGTGGTTGGGTTTGGCGCGTGGTCAGGCTGCGGGTGAGGGCAGCGAGGGCGGCTGAGTCGATGTGCACGTGCTGGGCTCGGCGCACGACCCGGGTGGTGGACGCGCGGACGGAGGTGAGGGGCTGTAGGGGGAAGGGAAAGGGAGAAAAGAATTAGGAAGGAAAAGCTTGAGTCCGGTGGGGCAGGAGCACTGCCGCAGGAAGGTGAGAGGGGAGGGGAAGGCAAAGAGGTAGAAATGAGCGGGAGGCCCTCTAGGCAGTCCTGCATCCAGGGCTCGAATGCGCAATGCTGACAACTTTACCGTGAATGGGGCGGGGACATCGTCCTCTGTGGTCATATGCCTGTGGTATACAGATTATTTGATCCGTCCTGTGTCGGCGTCTTTTCCCTATGGAGAGTACGGAGGGGTAGATTGATGATAATTTGCACGAAAAGGAACGATACGATGCCGTTCTCTCCGTTAGTCTTGCTCTTAATTGATTAACTTCCATTTAGAAACTAAAAAGGAATTAGTAGAAAACGTCTCATGGTAACAACACCACCTCACGCATTCCACATCGAGGTCCCGCCTGTCCTGAGGAGAATGCTGTCACCGGCGATCACCACTGATACTGACCCGGACGTTGGGCTGGAGAAATTTGTGCGCGTCCCGTCCTCTTTGGTCGTACAATTCTTTATTTGTGCGTCTTATTCTGGCGACCGACGCTATTTTTTCCTTTTTTAGCGAGTCCTTGCGATGTTATCTTCCCCTTGATGCGACGCCATCCTTTTTTGCTAACAAAAGTCGGTGCGTGCGACCAAAAAAAATAAAACTTTTGTGATATATTTGGTCTTTGTAAATTAATTTCATGCTCTTGAGGCCCAAAATAAGCGAAGACGGTGTGAAAGATTTTCTTCATGGCTTCATGGCGTGCAGGATAATTACCTCCTCTCTACCAGCCCTCCGCCACATATTCATCCAAGCTCGCGCATGATGTACATGTTCCCATCTTGCTGACATGTAGTGGAAGGCTAATATGTAAGTCAGGACAATAATTTTTCCATCGCAATGTCGTTTTTTTTCTTTTTTTTTAATTCCCAACCTTCCTCGCAGGTCATGTTTTCCGTCTTAGAGCTAGCATTGTCACGAGCCATGGGAGGATCCTGAAAGCATCTATGACTGCCTTTTCCTTCCTTTTTCTGTCCTTCCTCCTGCCCTTCCTCCTTCTTGTCCTTCTCACATCCCTCGGCCGTGCCCGCCTTCCTCCACGTCGTCGTCCTCACCCCCCTCGATACCCGCGGGCGAAAGGAAGCCTTTCCCAGAAGGCCACACCGCCCTCGACGTGCAATCGGCCAAGCAAATTCAGAACTTATCACCGCTTCGGGAATGTTGGGGGCGACGCTGTACCACGCTGTCCGTCTGAGAATCTATGACGACGTTGGTCCGCCGGAGAAAGCCACAGCCTAGTATCAGCTGTTGTTTGAGTTCGCGCATTAAAGAGGGAAGGAGATGAGGAAAGAGCGAGGCAAAGTGAAGCGGGGTGAGAGGGACGAAAGAAGGAAGTCAATGCCATGTGAAAGGAGGAGGACCATACGCAAAAGGAAAGACTAAGGGAAGAGATCGGGAAACAGCCCCCTATGCCTTGCAGGACGTCCTGTTCCTTCCCTCCCTCCTCCCTCCCTCCCTCCCTCCCTTCCTCCCTCTTTTCCTCCCCCTTTCCCTCCCCCGTCAACACGGGGCCTCGCCTCCCCTCTATGCATCCGTTCCTTGTGAAGCTAAGGTGGTGGCTTCGCCAAAAGAAAGCCTGCGGAAAGTCGAGGGCGGAGTGCCAATGCCCTCCCCCAAAACATG